ACATCGCTCACTTAACTTATAACGTATTTTTAAAAGTATTTAACGGAATTTTAGTCTTAATATGACGCATCCACAATAATATGTACAATTTTGGATATTGAGTACGCCTACGTTCAAGCCATATCTGAACAGCTTTGCCGTTAGTTTTTAAAATATCTAAAGATATTGATTTTTCAGCTTCTGTCATATCATCGGGAAATTTGTGAAATGGCATATGGAAATTTTTCCAGATATTTTCGTAATTTGTTGATTGTAATTCACTTGATGATTGCGAGTTTGTAGAAGCATCAGTGGGATCTTTTTCCTGGAGTAGCTCACCATTTTCGCTTACAATATAAGTTTCCACGTATAAGTTTCCTTTATAAGTACTACATTCTGATGGTGTAGATGTTTTTACTGTATGGAATGCTGGAGTCCATTTTTTACTCTCTGATAAGAGAATAAATATCTCTTTTTCATAAAAAATAAAAGATTCATCTTCATCTACAACTGTTCCACTTTTTAAAACTAATACTATGTCTTTTATTTGAAATTTTTGCGATGCTAGAATGTAAAAAAAAACTTATCTAGTAATATAATATCAATCTTTACGCATCTTTTAGCACCTTTGCTGATAAGAGCTTGATAAATCTCTTCATGTTCTTTGATAAAGATGGAATGTTTCTGATTCCTGTTCACATTCCATATTTTAAAAGCAGGCATTTTCTGAATAAATATCAAAACGCAATTATATTCAAAATAAGTTTCAGGGCAAAGGACAATATGGAAATACTTAATTTAATATCTAATATATCACAGAAAATATTATTGAAAACAATAAGAAGTAAATTTGTAAGAAAAAAAGATAAGTATATATCATCCATGAGACAAACAGAAGAAATTTTCATCAAAAATTTTAATATCAAAAATAAATTCATTAATTTTTTAAATTGCATAAATATATAGCACACTCAGATGAATGTATAATAAATTAAAAAAAAAAAAGAAATTTTTCAAGACAAAAAGAAAAATTAGAAATGTTCATAAGAAGACTTAAAATAATAATAATAATACGTATTTTATCCGTGAAATTCTAAAACAGTTTCATGACAAATTATTATATATCATTAAAAGAAACAAATGTGCCTTCAATTTCATTAGTATTATTCCTCACATGTAATTCTAAATCATAATTATAAACAATGTTGAACGATTTTCCAATGAAGAATATTTCGTTGTTTGAAACTTAAACTATTAAAATATATGAAAGTCTACAATAATTTCCAAATGCTTTCTTCAAACATATGATCATGCCAGTTCTGTAATTTATATTACGTCCTTATTTATACAAATTTCTTTGTTAGAGCTTATATTTGATTTTAATTAATTTCATTAATTAAAGGATATTAACAATAGTTATTGACATTGTATTTATCACCAATATCATTGATAGTAAAATTATCACTAAAAATGTTATCTTGTGATAAGTTAAATGCATTTAATAATTGATGTTTTGTAGCCAAAGAAAGTAAAATGTTTTTAAAATAAGATGAGTGTTTTATTACTTGTTTAAAATATTGATGCTTGCTTTCAAAGAGTCGAAAGTTGTCTAATAGGTCCAAATATTTTTATCAGATATGCATAATGCAATAAATAGATGTTTGGGCTTCACTGACACCTCCGAAAATAGTTTTTGTCTCAAATAAATATATTCAGTTATCAAATTATTCAAAATTTCTATTTGGTTGACGGTAATTTCAAAAAACCTAACAAAATAAGCATAATTCTTCGCAAACATAGCATTATTGTCTTTTTTCTCATTATTTATGTCATCTACAAAAGCAAATGGAAGTATCAGCAGAAGCCACTTATTTTATTAGTTCCAAGAAGTTTATCATCTTTTTTAATTCCGTAAAGTAGAGACTCATTAATAAATCGTAAAGTTTTAATTTTTAAGTTTAATGATTTAAAAGAAATAAAATTTAGTTTATTGAATTTATTTAAAAGAAGCATTAAATCTTTTTTGTATTACTCTCTCAAACATAACGAGTATCATGAGCAAGACAGAGGTAAGCCAAGATTAGCTGTATGAAAATATGACAAAGAATTTAAAACTAATTCTGATTTCACACTTCTATAAGATTTATTAGTAGTATGCATCATATTAATATCAAAAGAATGTAATTCTGGATTTCTCATATTAAATTTACAAATCATAAAATTTGAATTATTTATAAAATTATTTGCATAACAAATACCGGTAAAAATATCCAGCAGTGTTGAAATTCTCGTTGAAATTATCAGTTTGATGATTTCTTAAATTATCGTCGACGAAAGCTATTACTGTGCCTTTAATTATCGTATTGTTAACAATTATTCCTTTCGTTTCTAAAGTTTTTAAATCTTTTACTATTACTTTGGAAGCATTATTAAAGCCATATTTTTTAATATCCTTATCATAAATAAGAGCTACGAGCTGAATGTGATCAATATTTCTTAGCCAAGGTGGTAAATTAGCTATTATCATGTACACTCCTATAACTTTGTGTACTTTTCGAGAAGCACCTAAAGAATTGCAGATTTCAAAGGAATTTTGATACCAAATAAGCTTTATTGTATAATTATTATTTGTTAAAAATTCATTTTTGCAACAACAGTAACCAGTTATATCTTGATAAGTGCTATCAACTTTTTCCATGTGATTTTTATAAAAGTTATCTGAAAACTTTTGTTTTGAAATAAAGTTATTAATGTCTCATTAATAGGAATGTAGAAAAATTTTGAAGAAGAGTTACTTATAATATGACATATTGAATTTACGTAGTAATTTTTTATGTCGAAAAAAATTTGGTTCTCAATTTATCATTTTTTTTATTATATAATATATTAAAAATATTATTAGTATTTAAAAATTTTTCCATTAGTGTGATATTTTTCTCATATATTTTTAAAGTAATAAAATTTGTGATATTAATTAGATTAATATCAAGTAAGCTATCTATTATGTCTTGTAAAGATTAGACAGGAAATATTTTGATTCCAACTTTAAATACAAAAAAATTAATAGTTTCAAGCAGATATTTTCGATATTTCTATTATCACAAGGCAACTGTTCTGCAATTGTCTCTTCAATAATATTTTGAATATTTGTTGAATTTGTTAGGTTAATATCGTTATTTTCCATTAAAGTTTCTTGAAAAAGAACTTGAACATTAATCTGTGAATGTCTTCATATAAAATGAATACGTAACATTTCATATCTAGAAAATGATTTTTCTATTTTACAGGATTTCATAAATGAACAATTCAAAGGTATTCCATCTCTGTATGCTGATATAAATGCTTATAAAATAAAGTTATAATTTTAGTTTTATAACTGCAAATGTTACATGAGAAAAATATAATATATTAGATACCAAATTATTACCTATATGTTTACTTCTCATTAAATGTGCCCTGAAGTTTGAATATTTATTAAAGATCAAAGAACAATCAGAATATGCACAATGAAATCTTCTACAAATTTAGTGGTGAAGGAATTAGTGGTTGTATTATAAGCTTTTATATCAAATAATTTTTAATTGCAAATTGAGCAAAATAACCTCATTATATGGATATGAACATTATTAAAATATTAAATAATCACCTTCCCTTTATAATTTTTTTCCACCCAAAGGATGGAAAAAATAAAGGAATCAATCGGGTTATCACACAACTCAGGATCCTTCGTTGTAACGGTTAACACTCTCACCACTACTCAAATTTAGGTACGACTTGCATCAGCAAAACAGTGTGTCGCATTTCTTATGTAGGGACTGGCGATAGCAAGCACGAACAATAGATGGAGCGGCGCGCGGCGGCGTCTTTCTCAGTGCGCTCGCACCGAGTACAGATTCTAATTAATTACCATGATCGCATAATAAATGTAAAATTACACAATAAATGTAAAATCACAAAATAAACGTAAAATTTTACTTTTCTTTTGTAATTTCGCATAAAACTTTTTTTTTTTTCGTTTATGCATTAAAAATACCGCTGAAATTTAAAACCACAAGTTATTTTTACATAAAAATAGTACATTCACATATATTTTACCATTAATATGTATTTTTACTTCAAAAAATCTAGAAAAGGAAATTTCCAATCATATTTAGGTAATTTTTCAGTTATAAACATGTAATTTTCATGTAAAATTACATGCATTTTTTCAGTGTAGCGCGAGTGTGATGTAGCAGACAGCGCACTGGTCTGATGTACTAAAGATCCCAGATTCGATTCTCAGCAGAACCGAAAAATTTTCACAAAGGATTTTACATTCGTAGTTCCTCTCGAAAGGCAATGACAAATCACTGAGTATACTTGCTCAGGAAACCTCCCTACCAAAAATTGCCATTCGGAATCGGCGTTTAAACTGTAGGTCTCTACATTAGATCTGTTTTTTATTGCTGTACTCTGAACCAGTGCAATAAATTGAAATGAAACAAACGTACATTTGTTTCACTTCAACTTATTACAATGTGTATACTAGTTCAGAAAGTGCAGCAATAAAAAACAGACCGATTGTGTACGATCAGTGTGCGCACAAAGATATATGAGAGGGAGGCGCCTATACGCTGAGCGTATGGTATTTGAAGAAGAAATTATTTATAAATTTATTTATATTATAAAATATTTTTGTATGTATATTAATGTATATAAATTAATATAAATTGTATAAAGTAAATAATAGAAAATATCTCTAAAAATTACAGCTATACACATCGAAGATATTTTTTCGATTTATGGTAATGTGAATGTGTATAATATGCGTGTATGCATATGCGTATTTATTATAATTATATTTATATGTAAAATAAATATAATTATAATAAATATAATAATATATATGTTAAGAAGCAAATATTTCACACACACACACACACACACACACACACACACACACACACACACACACACACACACATACACACACACGAATAAATGTATTTTATAGTCAACATAGTCATTTTGTTTTTTTTCAGACTTATATCATTTGCCGAATTTCAAGCATTTGAGGGTCTTCTCTGTGTACCAGATGCTCTATATAAAACAGCTTTTCAACTCTTTGATACTAATGGAAATGGAATGGTTGCATTTGGTAAGGACTATTACGAAGAAATTGTCATTTTTCATTTCGAAATAATTACGTCTTTTATGTCTACATATTATTATTATCAATTTACAGACGAGTTCGCTGAGGTGATGCGGAAAACTGTACTGCATCAAAAAATGCCCTTTAATATGGACAGTAGTTTTATCAAACTCTATTTTGGAAAGGATAAAAGTACACTAATCAACTATGCAGAGTTTAGTCAGTTTTTGCATGTGAGTATCATATTTTGTTGCACGCTTAATTGCTAATTTGCTTGTTATTCTTGCTCAGAAAATAAGCCAAATATAACGTAACGAGTGACAAAAATTACGAATTACATACGCCGTATGTTTATTTTGTTTTTCACATATATTTAATATATGTGTACACAATTTGACTGAGATATCTTGAAAAGTCATAACATTTCTTATCTCAAAATATTTTCCATATATTAAAAAAAATATATTCCTTATACATACAGAAAATAGTTGTAGTTTTAAAAAAGCGATTCCTAAATATGATATAAATTAAAACAGATTAGTAATAAAATTTTGTATTAAAAATGCTTATCTTTAGGATTTTCATGAAGAATATGCAACAGAAGCTTTTAAAAAATTTGATAAAGATGGTGCAGGTTTCATTTCCGCATTAGACTTCCAAGACATCATGCTCAGTATTAAAAGTCATTTACTCACAAAAGATGTGAAGGCTAATCTAATTGCTGTAAGTAGTATTATTTCTAAAGAGGAGATAGAAAACTTTGTACTTAAAAAATGTTTTATACTATACATTTTAACTACAATTTATGTGAAAATAAAGACAGGAACATATTGTTTAAAGTACATGTGTTTAATACATGTGTGAAACGTTCGTTAATTACAAATTAATATTTATTAATCTTCAATTTTGTATCATTTTAATGTAAAGCAGTATTGAAATTTATTTGAATGTATAGTACCACAGAATGAGCTGTATTTTCATATATCGCAGGCAGTTGGTGCCGGTCAAAGCGGAAGAAAAGTTAGTTTTCCATACTTTATGGCATTCAATTCTCTCCTAAATAATATGGAACTTATTAAACGTATATACTTAAATGCAACCAATGGTCACAGATACCAAGAAGTTACCAAAGGTATAGTGAAGAAAAATGTGTAAATGTACGAGGTTATACGAGGGCAAGTCAATAAGTTTTTAGAAAAACATAGTAAAACACATTTTTTTTGATCGATTCATTTTTCTGCTCGATACACTTGATCCAACGATTCTCCAACTTTTTCAAGCCGTCCGAATAATATGATTTGTCCAATTCTTCAAAATAACCTCTGTTTTGGCGATGAGCTGCTCTCTGATAGTGAATCTCTTTCCTCCGAACCATTTCTTTAGGTTTGGAAACAGGAAATAGTCGCAGGGGGCTAAATCTGGCGAATATGCTAGATGGAGAAGCAATTCGTAGCGGAATTCGATCATTGAATTTGATCATCGGTGCACGTGTGAACCCGTGCATTGTCTTGATGGAAGAGCACTTTATTTTTCGCCAAATGGGGACGTTTTTTCTTTAAAATATTGTTGAAATAAGGCTGCGTAGTAATTGCCATTGATCGTTTGCTTCGACGGAAGGTAATCGATATGAATTATACCGCGTGCATCTCAAAAAACTGTGGCCATCACCTTTCCGGCTGACTTCACGGTCTTCGCCTTCTTCAGCTGGTTCACTCGGTGAAGTCCATTGTCTTGTTCCTTCGTCTCGGATGTGAAGTAATGAATCCATGTTTAGTTCACAGTAATGAATCGACGCAGAAATTCATCTGAATTACGTTGAAACATCTCCAAACATTGTTTTGAAATCGTCACACGGTCGCTTACTGGTCCACAGTGAGCAAACGCGGCACTCATCTTGCCGATAGCTTTTTCATACCCAATTGTTTGTACAAAATTGAAATCACTGTGCCATGTGATATGCTTGTGGCCTCAACAAGCTCGCGCACTTTCACTCGTTGATTAGTCAAAACAATATCGTGGACTTTATTAGCAGCTTCAATTGGACGTCTCGAACGAGGTGCATCACATGTGGATGTATGACCACGTTTAAATTCAATTGTATACAGTCGCAAACAGTACAGATGAAACTAGTTCAGATGTGCTATGAACATTATTCAACTTGGCCTTGATTTCTTTCGGCGTTAAACCTTTCATATGTAGATGTTTGCTCACTGCACGAAACTCGTTTTTTTTCCATTTTGCAAAAAATACAAAGGTTGTTCGTCACAGAAATGAAACCACGCGATGAATTCCGCTCAAAATTTGACAGTAATCAGCTGAAAGATGCTACTTGTTAAAAAGTAATGTGATATGACGAGTGCCCTAACAGATTTTCTAAGAATTTATTGATTTGCCCTCGTATATTAAAAATTTTTTTCTCGCTATTGATGTAGAAATCATATGAGGAAAAAATAATTTATCTTTTATTTTAATAATATAATCTATACATATGTAGTAAATACGACGTTTAATCAATCAATTGCTTTTACATTAATTTTCATCAACTAATAAATAATGTTCAGTACATAAATATCTATAAATTAATTTAATGATTAAACGAACTTACCTATAAGTGAGGTTCTATATAATTGTATGAAGCGCCTCTTCCGAAAGATAAAAAGTATTCGTCAATCATAGGCCGGAGCGCCACAAGCTTCAAAGTCAAAATGTTTACTATTCCCCGTCCGAAGCGTCATTCTATTCAAAGCCTTGAGCGTCATTCTATTCAAAACTCAGCCGCAGCCAAACAAAAAACAAATTTTTTGGGATCCGAAGATATCGGACATGGATATAGGGGGAGATACCTTATCTTTCGTAAAAGGCGCTTTATACAATTATGATAGAACGTCACTTACAAGTAAGTTCATTTAATCATTAAATTGTATTTTGCGCCTCTTCCTCAAGATAAAACGTAGATGTTGAAAAGATAGCTGCTGCTACACAAAACTGAACTAATAGAAAATAAATAGCCGTATTTATTTGGAAAAAATAAAATTGCACAAACTTTCTACTTATTTAGTAGATTCCTTTATTTATCTAGAATCGCCTGTCCGAATAAACGCAAGTTTTGAACAATAGGCCTATCATAAAACCTAGTGAATTTGAACTTTCTGTTCCATTTTGCCGACTTCCGAACATCAAGACTGACGCCTTTTCTTTTAGCAGATATAGATGTATGCATAATGCTAGTGCGCTGAGAAAATATCTATATTTATGCCACTATTATGCAAAATCTCCTTTAGCCATCTGCTTAAGGTCTGAGACCAAACTTTTTTGAACGGTTTTTTGAATGAAATGAAAGACTAAATGAAAGACTCTTTTTCCTGAGCTTTTCGATTTTCCTAAGATACAAGATACTGAAGAGTTCTAGCTGGGCAGATATTGGGATCTTTCTTATAGAAGGGTAAAACCATTAATGATTGTTTAACCCCAGTCTGGAAGTCTTAATCCTATTGGGAATTTTAATTTCGATCAAGTCCTCTTTTATAACGATATTCCCGATATCTATTAAAGATAAGATCTGAATTCTTTGGCCAGTTACTAAGGCTAATAACGTTACTAATTTCTTACTAAGCTTATCTAAAAGTAAGTCTTCATTCGGCAGTTCTTTGAAGAATTCTAAAACGATCTTCGGATCCCAAGTGGAGTCGTATTTCGGCGATCTTAATCTTGATAGACCTCTGAAGAATTTCCTGATACTCTCATCTTTCCCAATTTCCTCTAGGATAAGGGAGATAGTATATCGAATGCAATTAAAAGATTCATAAGATGCTCCTTTTTTAAACTTCAAAGACAAATACCTGACAACGTTTGATACTTCTGCTTTATATACGGATAACTTGCTGGTTATACAAAAAAAAACCCACCATTTCTTCAAGGAATCATATTATCTAAGAAACAACTTGCTTACAGAAGCCATAGAAATCTTTATGGCTTCTTCCGGAATCCCCTTTGACAGAAACGCTTCCTTGATAATTTCCCTATCACCAGAATAAGTTTCCTCCATAAAGGAAGCGGCTCTCTGCCCAGAAAAAGTAAAATATCTCTGTTAGGTTCAAAAATTAAAGATTCCGATTCCAGCATTGAAAAGAATAAGGGAAACCACAGTTGTACTGATCAAGTGATACCATTATTATCCCCTTTGCTTTTTCTGCTCTTCAGAGCAAAAGCAAAGGAGATAATAATGGTATCACTTTGACCAGCACAACCGTGGTTTCTCTTATTTCTTTTCTGTTCTTTTTGAAGAATTTTAGTAATTAATATACTATAAATCATGGAAACGTATAAAAAGAAGAACTTATTCCAATTCAAAGTAAAGCATCGACCGCTATCGTGCCAAGGTCTCTTATCCAGGAGACATAATTTTCACATTTCGCATTAATTCTAGTTGCGAATAAATCTGGATGTTCTCATTTCTTAAGAATCTCACGAAAGGCTATCTCTGATAACTGAAACTCTATTTCGCTTCCTAATCTCCTTGATTCAAAGTCTGCTTCCGCATTAACTCTAGACGAAATATATGACGCAAAGATGAATAATTCGCGTTCTTCACACCATTCCCAAATAGACTTAGCAAGGTTATTGAGTTCTTTGAATCTCACACCACTCATGTGGTTTATGTACGAGATGGCAGTGGTGTTATCAATTCTTAAAAGAATATTGCAATTTCTGAGTTCGGAAGCGAAACACTTGAGACCAAAAAACACTGAAAGCAGTTCCAAATGATTAATATGAAGTAATTTGTCTAAATTATCCCAAAAACCATGCGCTCTATCCTTACCGCACGCCACTCCCCAACTGGAACGAGAGGCGTCAGAAAAAATAGTTTGTATTCGCGATTTGCAATACTCGAAATTCTAAGATAGGAAACAAGACCGTTTATATTAAATAACATTACAATCCGAAGCGCCACTACGGTCTAAGAATTAAGATGTTGAACTAATATATATATTATTCAAACGAATGAATTAATTTCAGAAATAATAATTACGTGTCGATATGGTTGTCGACATTAACGCACATTTATATTTTTTCGCAATAAGTTTATTACAGTTTTTTAAGATTAATTTGGGAATTTTGGGGGAATTATTACATTTCAGATTAATTGCGTTAATGTCGACAACCATATCGACACGTAATTATTATTTCTGAAATTAATTCATTCGTTTGAATAATATATATATTAGTTCAACATCTTAATTCTTAGACCGTAGTGGCGCTTCGGATTGTAATGTTACTCGAAATTCTATTCAAAATATTATGCTCCCACCATATAAGGTTTTCCTGTAAGTTTTGATTTAAAATCATACTCGCTTCATAGTCATCTTTGGACTTTATTAAGGCTAAATACTTTTCTCTCTCAAAAATCTTGATGTATGCCCAACTATATTGAACAGCCGGACAGCAAGATACTAAAGAACATCAGACATGCGAAATCTTTAATCTTACATTTCTTAAATTTTTTAAAGACTTACTTGATTCTGAATCCTGTTCCTTTTCTTTATTGGTAATTCTAACGTCATTCTCTGTGAATTTAAGACAAACAAGAAAACTATACAATTGCGATGGAATTTTGCAACTCTTTTCCTCAATTATGAACCCCAAGCTTTCTAATAATTCTACGGAAGCTTTTATATTATTTAAGCACTCTGCTTGAGAATTTCCTAAAAATAGCAAATCATCAAGATAAATGACTGATACATATCTTAAATGACATACTACTAGCTTCATAAGTTTTGTAAAAACGTAAGGAGCCGTATTGGCCTTACATTTAGGCCAAACAGTAAGCAATTGAATTCATAAAGAACATCCTCAACGGAAAATCTTAAGTATTTCCTGTGACCTCGTTCAATAGGAACCAAGTAATAAGCATCTCTGAGATCTAGCTTACCCATAAAGCAATTAGGGCTAAATAGCTTACATGCTACTTTAATGTTTTCCGGTTTGAAATGCTCCGTTTCAATAAACTCATTTAATCTTTTAAGGTTAAGAATTAATCTGCTCGACCCGTCTGACTTAAGAATTAAGAAAATTCCGGATAAAAACTCACACGGATGGCAACTAATCGCGCCTTTCGAAATCAACTTCTCAATGTACTTTCGAATCTCCGCTTGTTCTTTTAGGGACCATGAAGATTCTTTAGGAACTTGAATCCTGAAAAACTGATTTCGAAAAAGGAATAGCGTATTCCTTAATCTAACTCAAAATTCTGGAATCGGAGGTTATATTTTTTCAGTTCTCTAAAAAAATTCTCAGCCTGTCAGCTGGTTTATTTACCTCCGCTACAACTAAGCTTTCTTTTGTTGATTGTTCTAGGCAATGTGATTGAGAATTGTCGCGACTTGCCGTGTTCTGGTTGGCTACATTTCTCTTGCTGAACTGATTCTGATTGTAGAATTTGTTCCGATACCCGCCTGACATCGTAGCCTTAAAGGGTTGACGACGATGCGAGTCCTTGAAGTTTTTTGCCTTCTCAGATTTCCGGTTTTGCTTTCAATTTCTTGCTCGATAGTCTTTGCTACCTTAAGACTCTCAATTTCTGGCCAAAAAGCCATTCTTTTGTTGTCGCTGATTCTAACGTCTCTTTTTGGGAACTGCTAATAGAAGCAAGAATTAGATTTCTACGAGTTAAAGACTCGTCTCTCTGCAGATCTGCCATTAAACGTGCAGCATCGCTAAACTTCTTGATTAACAGTATTTGGGCAGGAGATAACTTCTGATCTCTGTTATCGATCTTGCTGTTTTGGATAATTTCTATGGTAGAGCTACCCATCAAGGCGAGGCAAGCCGTGATCTTCTTCTGTTTATCTATGATGCGATTATCGTTTCATTGCTGTCTCATTCAAGGAAGTCTTAAGTTCTTCGTTAAGTTTAGACGGATCAATCAAGACGCAATTCTTTAGAGTAGTATGATTTTTATAAGTTTTTCTCTCTCCTCTTTTGGCAGAGATTTTCTTTCTTTAAGATATCCTTCAAACGAATCCGCCACACTCTTTGGAATATCTGGAGCTAAAACTCTCTTCAGCCACTCGATCCAATGGCCTCCAAAATTTCCACATCTAAATCTTCTATGACAACTTCTTCATTTGAATTATTATATAATAGCTGTAACCACCTTCTGCGTGTTCGAAGAGGAAGCCTTCTCATCCGTCTTTGATGGCGGTTGATCATCTGCAAACACGTGGACATCAGCCTATACCGATACAGTATAAGGATATGGCTAATCAGCTCAAGATCCCTTGGTGAAATCGGTGACTCTTCGGAAGTGACTTCCGGTACCACAAGAATGAAGCATTCCTTCGGAGAGAGAGATTGACTATAACGATCTTCTGAACTTTGAGTCAGATGATCCGATTCTACACACTCGAAATGTGTTCGATCTTCATGATCCGAGCCTTTAGATCTTGATTCATGGTTTCTTAATACAAATATACAACCATAAACACAGTATATTTATTCAAAAAAAAGCACACACGCACACATACACACACAAGAGTACTCGTTCGTAAAATACGAAGATTCAACATTCACAATTAATGAAATCGATTGTTTGTATATGTGTGCGTGCGTGCGTGCGTGCGTGCATGCGCGCGCGCGGGCGGGCGGGCGTGTGGGGGGGAGGCTTGCATAGAGGCTTCTCTATTTCATCTGAGACAACGCTTGCCAATAAGTTAAAGCCTGCGGCCCATCTATAGATTAGAGCCTATGATGTGAGGAAATCGTGCAAGTCTTCCCACAAAAAATGCGTTAATACCCTTCTTCTCTATGTGACGTAGAGGAATCTCTGACGTAAATGTAAAAGGTTTCAACTAACCATTCCATCTAACCTAAAACATTACTTACTTGAATTTTTCCATCTACCATGGTCATTGTATTTCTTAAATTCTTTCATCAAGCATCTCATCTTTTTCTCTAATCTATTCTCCTTCGAATCTTCTGCACTATTGTCTCTGTATCTTCTTTTTCCATCTTTATTCCTGCTACCAACAATGTGGATACCTCGGCACAACGATATGATCACCTCGGCATAAAGAAAAAAAATGACGCTCGAACGGGGAACGTGAATAGTAGACATTTTGACTTTGAAGTTTGTGGCGCCCCGACATATGCCCAGATAACATTTATGTTGCATAAGATATCTAAAAGACATCTTTTAGACATCTTTTAGACATAAGACGTCTAAAAGACGTCTTTTAGATATCTTATGCAATAAATGTTATTTAGGTGGTTGAAGAGTACTACGTTTTATCTTGAGGAAGAGGCGCGAAATACAATTAAATAGATATTAATAGATTTTATTGTCAGTATTTAAGCATTATAACTTTTTGCCAGAGGAATTTCTTTATTCTGCACAAATGATGTCCCAGATAACCCCATTGGAAGTGGACATTTTATTTCACCTTTGCGATTTACTTCATCAAACTGGGTGAGTATTTCCGACATTGAAATCGTTGATAAAATATTTTTCCTTTTGTTGATTTATTGAAAAAATATTACGAAGCAGTCACTTTAACATTGATCTTAACAAAATGTTCAGACTTTATTAATTAAAGACCGATCCACGCTGGTCAACAAGACAAATACAAAAAAGAGAACAAGTCACGTAAAACTATCGTTGCACCATCAAGCACATCGTCATCATCCAAATGTCAAGTATGTCTCGTTCTTGGCAATTAATGAAAGTTGATACTATTTTACGGCGTAATTCATTCCTAATAGCCAAGCTTATTATACAATGCTTAACTATATATCATTTTCTAATATTTAAATAATATTTCGTATACTGAAAACATTTATTTACGTGTTTACGCTGCCTGGATCAGACCTACGGAAGATGACGAAGCAGATTCGCGGCTTGGGTGCGTTTTGTATTACAGATCACGTGCTATAAATATATATCACGTATGTGTACACACATACAAACACACACTCATATATTTTCTTAGACTATGTTAGAAATACTACCTGAATAGCTTCAGTATTATTTTATCCTTGTTTAACATATGGTAAACAATAAAAATAAAATGATACATGGGACTACTTGAGTGGTATTTCTGAACATAACTTCACTTACTAACTCACTCACAAGGGAACTGACTCTTATCGATTTTAATGCTTTGAATATGTTGTAGAGCATGAAAAAATATTAGACCGATATTTTTTTGTGCTTTTCTCGAGAAGATGAAATACTCCCTCGAACCCTTATGGAAATGGACTATTAGACTATTAGAAACTATTTGATTATTCAGTCGTAATTTTTTTGTGAATTATTGAGGAGAGCTATTATTAGATTATTGAGAAAACTATTCAGATAATTATTAGAAAAATTAATTAATTCAATTTTATTATTATAAAATAAATATTAGTGTTTAGCATCATATTCTAAAATACATACGACAAAAATATGATGAAAAAAGTTACCTCCTGAATTTGGGAGAGCATCATGAATCTAATTTCAAGCAGTCATCCATCCAAAGCTGCAAGAACTGTTGGATTATTGATTTAGTTATATAATTGTTGATTAAAGCTCGATTGCACAACGTTACTTTTATTTTAAGTGAGGCTTAAAACTTTCTCTGTCTCTGTCTCTTTTTTGCTTTAAAATGAAACAGAGAATTTTAAGAGGGTGTACCCAGTTAGGAGGCCAAAGAAGAAAAATCTTCGAATGATGAATTTTTTTCAAAAAAATACATGCACATATTTGTATGATAGATTTTATGTTTGAAAAAACATTGGCAAAGTTTTCATATTTTTTTATATAAAATATAGCTAGTATCCGGAAAGTCGTTTTCCAAAACGCGTGACCACTGGCCATTCGGAACCAGTTAATATATATGAAGTTAGTCTTTAATCGTTCGATATTTCGAAAAATTGAAATACAACAAAATGGCGGCTGTTTAAAGTTGAATTTTCGATTTTCATAAAAAAAAACGAATATTTTTTATTCATTAAAAAAAAGAATGCATTGGTAAAAAAATTCTACGATTAAAGACTAGATTTACATGTCTAAAAAAGCATGTAAAATTTTAGATCGATCGATCCTTTTGAGATATGTTGGTCATCGATTTTGAAAACATTGTTTTGAGAAAAACGCGTTTAAAGTTTCAAGTACAGTTTACGAAATAAAAAATTTTTCAACTTACACAGAGTCATCTATTCCAAGATCATATTGTACGTCCTCTCTTGAAGTTGATGCTTCTAAAATACCAATTTGTTGTTACCGACGATGTATTCTTTCCTTCCGAGTACTGTATTGCGCGGAATAATTAGCTGTATATGTTTATGCGTTCGGCGTCTTCTCTATATCTCCGTGAAAATGCAGCGGATCAACTTGAAATTTTCAGGGAATATTTCTAACATTATATACTTTAAGAAAATGTGATTTTTGAAAAATCGATTTTTTTGAAATTTCTGAGTGTACTTCCTTAAGTCTCACTTAAAGTAAGCGCAAGGTAACATTAGTGCAACTGGATCTAAGTTGAAGAAAAAATCAAAGATCAGTTACAAATAATAAAGAAAGAGAAGTAAAATGTAAGAATTCTGTGTTTTAAAATTATATATATAGAACCTCTTTTTACTTTTACTTTTAAAAACACAGAATTCTTACATTTTACTTCATTTTACTTATATATATATACAAGAATTTCTTTTTACTTTGTTAAATTGCAATCGCGTGAAAACGTATTGAAATTTATTAAAATTTCATTTTAAAAAATATCAATTTCTCACTTATTTTGATTCACCGTATGCAAATTTACTTATATATTTACCGATTGGTTTTTATTGAAATAAGAATCTATGAGATTTCTGATAAAAATCTGTTGACATTCAATTGTACCCATTCAATTGTGATACCCGATTGAATTTAATTCGGGTTGTTAATGTGGATTTCCCACTCAGTCCGATTCGCCAACTGGAGGCGTTTGCTGATTACTTCCCATTCCAATAAAATCGGATTGATTTTTCATTTTGTAAATCGGTAATATGCCTATACATTCTTATTGAAAGTGCTTTAAATGGAAATCCTACTAAAATCTTATCATTCTTAATAGGCTGTAATTTTGATTCCGATACATTCTATTCATTCTTATTGAATTTTTATCGGTTTTTAATAGGTTTAAATAGTTTTTAATCGGAAATTTTATATAATTGTGACATAACTGATTAATAATATGACTAATAGATATTATTAAAAAACTCACATATAGTTAAAATATGTTGTAGTGATCATTACGGATAATCTGGGTAGAAAATCAATAATTACGCAGTCAAAAATTATTGGGAATGATTATTTTAAATAATCTGATTAGGGAATCAATAATCACTCCGTCAAGAATTATTGAGGAGTGATCATTGTGAATAATATGATTATTGGATAATAAATAATCACTATTAAAGAGTAATCATTATTAAAATCCAATAATGATCATTGGTATTCCAAATTTATTTCTGTAAGGGAAAATAATGGATATCGATTTTGTTAAATACCTTTTAACAGGTATATCCAAAAATATTTTATATAAAGTTATATAGTTTCATATGCTCTGTACGGCATAAAAAACATGCTGCAACAAATTGTTATAAATAAATTATTATTATTAAAAATTGATTATAGAGAAATTCTGATTAAGTATGTTTAATTTTTTTATGTTTAAAATAATTCGTTAAAGGTCTCAGAGCACAAACAAGATGTACTTCGCTATTGTTATAAATAACAAAACATTATATTTAATTAATCAAAATACAGATATTTCGAGGGTCATTACATCAGGTCATTTTCAATGTTAAAACTACCGTCTACATTAAAACAATGACATACTAAAAATTCCAGAAAATTCCAAGGCATACAATATAAAAACCTCAATATTCTAGCAACAACGTGTGCAATCCTATAATCTTGATATGACCGCACGAAGTTATAAAATCTTCTTTTACACCTGTCCATATTATCAGTTCAGGAGTGAATCTCATCTTAATTCACAGTATCAATTAGCCATAATAATTTGCCATGGTATATGATTATTGGATCTCTTACTAAACGCATACAAACATCAACAAAGATCAGAATCACAGTACATAATAATATGTAAAAGCAGTGTTAAGATCAGAACTCCAAAGGTAAAAAATGTGTCATATTCTTCCGTGCCTCTTGACAATTTACATGTATTTTAAACTGATCCAGCCACACGGAAGAACACGATGCATGTGCATTTGCATGTGCATTTTCTTATAAATTTTAAGGTCATAAAATTGAGGATGACATTTTCCCTAGTCAATACACTTTTTTGCCCTGAAACTTTCATCAATCCGAGAGTGAGAAAAGAGTCCTACCACTAATTATCAAAATCTATTTCACTAATTCGAATTCGACTAATCAATTTTCTCCTTCTCCTAAGAATATCCCTATATAAACGGCGATTTCGCGGGACGTTGGGCATTCCTAGACATTTCTTGATCATCATTCTTTGATTGTCCCTTGCGAGTTCTCGGGTTTTTGCACTCTAGGCTTATTCCGATCTAGTTTTTCGAGTGATCACATACGGAGTCCAGCTCCATTATCTTCTGAACCAGACATGAACTCCATCGCCGAGAACTACATCCAGGATGCCACTCATTATTTCTATCACCAGTAAGCCGCATTCTTTCTCTCTCTCTCTCTCTCTCTCTCTCTCTCTCTCTCTCTTCCTCTTTCTTCCCCCTTCGGTATCAATCATTAAATAATATTTTGGTCCTCTTTTGATTCTAGTAATATTCCTTTAACCGTTCCACCTCCTCATATTCTTTATTTACGGAAATCTATTTCTTTCTTCCTAATGTACCCCTATATGCACATTTTTCTATTCATTTGCTCTAGGTTCGCACTCGATGTAACACACACACACACGCGCGCAGACATCACGTTTAATCAAAAACACTAAAATTAATTATAAGTGCATCAAGTTGACTATTTTTGTAAAAATAAAAACATATATAAACATTCCTTTTATTGTTTAACTAAAATCCAGGTGTATTAATTTTTGTATACCTGTATACCCTCTCCTTGTATTTATCTTAATTCTCCCACGATTGCACTTGATCCTCTCCCTAGTCACATGGATTAAGTTCCATGACCGAAAAACAGGACACACAAATGCACTGGTACATTTAGTGTTAAAGTGCGCCTCGTGACACACTGATCCAGTTTGGGCCCTTCAAACAAGTACGTTCGACTTGTGAGTCCGCTCAGCGGAGCGTTGACCGCAAGAGGTTTCTACTTCGTTCTTCCGACCGCCGGCTCCTTGAGAACCCCAAGACGAAGCGAAGTATCTCCCGATTTGCATCGCTCCTTCTCCAACTCCCTTACGATCCGGAGCTTGGACCAAATTGGTTAAAATTCTGTTGCGTTCACTCCCTCCTTGCAGAGCTTGGACGTAACACCTAGATCACCAAGGATAACCAAAAAATGACATTTGTAAATAGGAGCATGAAAAAATATCTTTGATGTTAAAAGTACATTGCAAATATCAATTTTGCAATTAATTGTTATAAACAAATAATTATAACATAAACAAATAACAATTTAAAAAAAAGTTAAATCATCTTTAATAATTTTTTTTTCTTTAATAATTTTTCCCGTTATAATCAATTGGTGTAGTCACTTTTTCTCTATTATCAATTTTTAATAATTTGTTTGTAACAATTTTGTTGCAAAATTTATTTTTGCAATTTGTTTTCTATATCATTATACAGAGCATAGGAAACTAGACAACTTTTGTATAAAACATTTTTTTATATACGTTATAGTTTAAAAAATATTTTTTTTAAATGATAAAAATCATTATTTTCGAAGAATGTTTCCTCTAAATCTTGAGATACACAA